TCCATGTCAGGAGGCTTTGAGCGGAAGCTTTCCTCCATGCAGTCTTCAGTAGGCAGTGTAGACGGCCGCCTCCTTTGAACCACCCGGTCAGTCCCACCGACTCTAGTTATTAATTCATAGGATGTGTATACTCCAGTCATAGACTGTTAGAGCCCAAAAGGACATGAATCATGTCCAGCCCTCTTATTTATTTTAAAATTTGAAATCTAAAGAAGTTAAACAGGGACTGGAAAGATGGCTCAGTGATTAAGAACACTGACTGCTCTTGTAGAGGACCCAGGTTCAAAACCACCTGTAACTCTAGTTCCAGGGACCCAGTGCCCTCTTCTGACCTCTGCACGCATTGCATGACACGGGTGCACTTACATACATGCAGGCAATACACTTATACACATAAAATAAAAATAAAATAAGGGCTGGAGAGATGGCTCAGAGGTTAAGAACACTGGTTGTTCTTGCCCAGCACCCACATGGCAGCTAACAACTGTCCGTAACTCCAGTTCCAGGGGATCTGATGGCCTCTTCTGTCTTCTGTGGGCATTGCATGACACGGGTGCACTTACCTACATGCTAAAATATTTTTTTAAAATGTTAAAAATCTCTTAAAAGTTAAACTTTTTGCTCAAAAGACAGAATGTTAGAGCCTGTCTGCAAAACCATATTTTTCATTTTCCATTAGGAGGCCAGTGTAGGTTCCCATAATGTGGGGTGGGGGCTGAGGTGACATAGGGTTTGACATGACTAGAGCAATGCCCACTTAGAGACTCGGGTCCATCAGCCCAACAAGAGAGCAGTAGACTCCGGACCACACAGAGGCTGAGTCTCTCTATCCTTCCCACTCCTCCGGGGTCTCCTGCTGTTTTCTAACTGTAGTGTAGTTTATTTTGGACTTTGAGCCTTTGGCACACCCCCAGAGCTGGAAGAAGATACTTAGTAACTGCAGTAGCACCAGGTGCTCTGTGGATCCAGAGGGACTAACAGCTCCAGGGATGCTAAGGTCAGATTACTGATGGACATCTGTGAACTAAAGGCAGGCAACAGGGCAGCAGAGCAAGGATACATGCAGAGTTCTTCATTTGGGGAGATTGAAACGAGCTCTCCAGCCAGGAGGGAAGCTTGGGTGTGAATCCAGAGAAGGCAGTTTCTGGGTCAGCAGCTATTATCTGCTTACTGTTGATGGAGAGGTAAAGGGAGTATAGTGTGTGCTGGTTTGAGTGTGCATTTGTGCACTGTGTGTTGGACTGGTTGCTGTTTTTCCAAGCGCGTGGAAAGCTGGAATTCATCTCCAGAATCCAAGACGTACTTAGCATGAGCTAATACTCCCTTTATGCTTAGCACTGGCTGAGTCCTGGTGAGAACTGTATCTATTCTTGGGCTTAAATAAGGGCAGATTCTGAGGCCCTGTGGGAGGATTCAGAGAAGCACTGCCAGTAGGACAATGTGAGTGAATCACATATGTAATTTAGAATTTCCTGGTAACCACAGTGAAACAGAACTGGTGAAATTAATTTTTGTAACATATACTATTTAACCCAATATATTAAAAAATTATTTAATGAGATAGTCTACATTATTTCGTGCTAAGTATTTGAAATCCACTTTTTACTCCATATTTGCCCCATTTTGAGTGCTCAGTAGCTGCCTGTGACTGCTGGTACCACCCTGAAGGTACAAGCTTAGAGGAAGAGCAGCCTAAACCTGGCAAGTGTTGGAAAGTGGGAGCAAAGAAAAAACATAGGCTTAGAGGGGAAAACAAACCTCTGCAGGTAAGCAGCTTTGCAGGGCTGACCCTTGTAGTGGATAGCAATGCTTTCCATCTCCTGGGAGCTTCCCCCTCCCCCCAAAACTGGTTTACATTCCATCTACATGAGATGCTTCATTTAAATCTAAACAGGGAGAAACTGAATCTCAGCTAAAGGATGTTTACCTTTCCTGCTTCCTTCATTTATCCCACAAATACAAGTGGGGAACCCACTCATACTGATGTGAGAACTAGGATGATGACTGTCCTGCTTTGGGGGTATCCTGACACTGAGAAGGTACTACTGAGCCATCAGTATCCCTGTAGTATTTTGGTTCCTTGGGTTAATGACCAGACACTACCTTTTCCTGTATACTGTACCATTTATGGAGGGAAATGCCTTTGAACACCTAGAGTTAAAGATTCAAGAAGAGAGCCAGGCATAGTGGCGCATACCTTTAATCCCAGCACTCGGGAGGCAGAGGCAGGCTGATCTCTGTAAGTTCAAGGCCAGCCTGGTTTACATAGAGTTCCAGGCCAGCTGGACTACAGGGAGACCCTCTCTCTCTCAAAAAAAAAAAAAAAAAGACCCCCCCCCAAAAAAAAAGGTTCAAGAAGAGAAGTCAGACTGCCTGTTTTCAGAAGAGGTTGAACTTAGGTATTGCTAGCACAGTTGATGTCAGCCATCTTCAGCCTGACCAAGAGGAGGTAATATGTGAGACAGTCACAAAGGCTCAGCACTGAGATCACTCCTTTGCATAAGACTTCAGTCTTCTCTGAACCATAAACTTCCCTCTTCTGTCTTCAACAAATCAAAGGTTAGTAAAAAGTAAAAAGCCAGGGGAGGTAATGGACCTTTATGGGCTTATACAGCAGCTCTGTCTTCCTGTGTTTGATTCGCTGATCCTCTTTTAAGCACAACACTCTGTGCTGAGTGATTGACTCCAGCCACAGCTTTGACATTAAGTTGATGCTGGAGTGTTTTGTGGGTTGTGGTGATCATGCCTAGAGTTGTCCACATTCTCTCTTTGTTATTGCTTTTGGCCCGAGGTCATCAGGCCACCAGCTGGAGTTTGAGCTTTTTTTTAATGTAAACTTTTATTTTCATGAGTGCAACCCAGACTAGTCTTGGAACTCTGAGACCAGAGAATCTCACTTGAGGTCCTTGGCAACATGGGTTCCCAAAATCAGGCTGAGAATCAGCAGTATTTGTACCACCTGTGAGCAATGGACAGCGTCTAAAACAGCTGGGTGAACCAAGTCAGAATCTGTGTTTTAGCAGGGTCCCAGGTGATACCTGACCCAGAAGAGTACCCTGACCCCTGATTGTCCACAGTGGTCTCTGCTCTATCAGCTGTGGCCACCATCTCTTCCTCTCAAGCAGCCACTTCTGCTGTTGGACAGCACCCACTTTTAGAAAGCTGCCTCTTCTGTCAGAATCACCCCCCAGCCCCACCCCCCACTTTCGTCCAAAGGTACCAAAGTTAGTTTCATTCTTCTGGATGCCCACATAGCAAATGCTTGGAAATGTCCATTTCTCTCTCCTGTGTTACAAGGAAACTTTGACCCAGAGGTTAGGTAGATGGTGAGTTAAGCACAAGGTCAGCAGGCCCTAAGCCACTAAAGAAAGAGCATGAAATGACCTTCAGTTTTGTCTTTTTCTCTACTGCTTGAGTCCAAGGGAACAGCTCTGAGTTGGTTGAGGTTGAGAAAAGATTCAGAGAACTTGAAGGGGCTTCCCAGAAGGAGGAGCATATGGAAGTAATATGTGGTGTAGAAGGTGGTTGTGCAGGGCATGCTAAGGGGTGAGGACATTTACAGTGGAGATGAAAGTGAGTGTGGTATGGTGGAATGGAAAAAGCAGCCAAGTAGTTTGCCTCTCTCAATGGTGTGTGGCATTGAGGCACATACTGCCCCCCTCTGAGCATGGCTTTTTAAGGTAAACAGTATGATCATCCCAATCCTACCTGTCTCCTGGGTTTCTGTGGGACTCATAGTTATGTCTGTGAGCACACTGATAAAGTGGAAGGTGTTCTGAAGATAGAAGAAGTCAAGCAGGACAGTAGAGGAAGCCCAGAGACCAGTCTACACTGCTTTACTGTGTGACCTTAGAGGAGGCCACCACACTCTCTCTGGCCCTCCCTGTGAAACAAGTGCATCCTATATAAAAGATTTCTAGTTGAGCGTGGTGGTACATGCCTGTAGTCCCAACGCTTGGGAGGCAGAGGCAGGTGGATCTCTGTGAGTTCAAGGCCAGCCTAGTCTACATAGTGAGCTCCAGGCCAGCTGGGGCTATAGGGAGACCCTGTTTCAAAAAGACCAAAAAAAGGAAAAAAAAAAAAGGTTTCTAAGTGCCCTTCTAGAAATCCATGGAGTTTCTGTGGGCTGATGCAATTGTTGCATGTTACCTAGAGTGTTTATCCAAAGGTGAACTTTTTAAATATTTATTCAGAGAGACTTCCTAAAGCTTGAAATTGAATCATCTCTGTTCTGGGGAAATTGATTCTGAACTGCCTTCCATTGGTGGCTTTGCCACTCTGATGGGAGCCTGGCTTTTCAGGGCCCTGATTTCAACATGTGCTGCCCAGGCTAGTAAGTGATGATTCATTGCTATGTCTAGTGCAAGACACACCACCCTACTTCTAGAACCACGTTAGAAACTCATTTCATACCCCATAGTAGTATATCATGTGCACAATTTTCCAGGAATATAGTCTTGTGTGAGACTTCAAATATTACCTTGGACTGTTTCAATAGTAGTATAACCTTCAGTTTTTTAAGTACCCAGGCATGGCAACCCTGATAGTTTTATGAGCCTATTCAGCTATTGGCTACCAGTTAACAAAAACTAAAACTGCCTTTGACACAGCAGCTCTTCCCTAGAAGTTTGTTCCCTGAAAGTGAAGGAATCAAAATGTGTGGTTTCAGGAGGGGCATGTCTGTTCCTAAAAGACAGCTCTTTCATGTGTCTCTCCTGCCAGTCTGGGGACTCTGTGTTGTACACCCTGACCTCACTGCAGCCACGCTTCCTGTTTCCCATTTCATCTCCTGGATGCTTGCTTCTAACTCTGTACATTTGCATTTTTTCCTGCGCATCTACCATGTTGTCGTGGAAACTCAGTGGCCACAGGCCTCGAATATGTGGTGTCATCTAAGTGTGGTGGTGTGGTACGTGTATTTGCTCACGCTTTTATTTTGAATCCTTTCTGATGTTTCATCTGCTAAAATGTCTCCCTTATGATTTGCTTGGTGACCACAGCCTTCTCATCATTCATTGAAAGCAGGACCTGATCTCACAGAATCTGAAAAGAGCTATGTGGTAAGATGCCTGTTGAATAAGACTGTGACTTTCCTAAAGAGAAACCCTTACTGACTCCAGCGTGTAAACCAGAGTAATGTCTGGTTAGTAGCCAGCTGTGGTTTACAGCTGTTGTAGTAGAGCTAGAGGTTAGGCCATCTTCTACCCCTTAAAAAAGCAGAGGAATTTAGAAACTTTTCCAACTCTGCCTCTAGTGGGATTAAATGTGTGTGTTAGTGCATGACCGGGATTCATACTTGCATTTCTATCCTGAGATTGTTCCATTTGTAACAGTTGCTCACTAATTACAGGCTTTTATGCTGCTGCCTTTTTTTTAATGTTCATACTAAATCCCAAATTCTTCTGTGTCTTACCTGTTTTTCCATGCTTACGCCTGGATCCCTCCTGCACTCACTCCGCTCCTGGAATCTCTATTTTTTAACCTGGATCTTCAACTCTGTTTTTTCCCTGGACTTATGTACTTCATCTGGAATGTTACATCTCTTCCTCTCTTTCGTTTTTTGTGTTTTTTTTTCTTTTTTTGTCCCCACATTGACTGTTTTATGGGGGTTTCTGGATGTCGCGGGGCCACCTCACAGGAAGCAGTTTGCAATGAGATCATAAACATTGCCGAGAAATCTGTTCATTACTGCAGCACTGTCTCTCATCCCCTTGACTTCCATCACAAGGTATCCCCTTATGACAATAAATCATCTTTAATCATTTCTCAGCAACCTCAAGCCCAGCAGCGAAGAGTCACCTCAGACAGAAGTCAAACCTCACAAGACTTGTAAGTACACTTGGTGAACTTGAGTTCTCATGTCCTTGGTGAATTTCCCACCTTAGAAAATATACGGTTGGCTGCAGTTGGATGGTCATTTGGGAGAATGAGCCAATGTTCACTCCCTGTCTCTCTGGGGACTTCTAGCAAAGGCTGTATTTCCTGTCAATCATTGTGAAAACAGGTAGTGGGTAAATAAAAGAGGTCCTGGGCTACTGGGAGAGAGAAAGACAAGTAAAGAATTAACAACCATCCAAGGGAAAATGAGTGCTGTGGGAAACAGGAAAGAACAATTACGAGGGAGCAGAAATGAATGAGAAGGGCTGATTCATTCAGTTGTTCATTCAAAATATTTATTGGATATATCCGGTGGTTATGCAATAGGAGAAAATTCTGTTCATAAAAGGAGAGTGATTTGAATGACACATTGAGACAAAGGCTTGGAGGTGGGTGGTGTTTAGAGAACCTGAAAAAAAGCCTGTGTGACCAGCATATGGTTCATGGAGATGTTAGGGCGAAAAGTTAAGTAGGTGGCACTGGATTCTAGAATGCAGCTGAAATAAGTTTAGATTTTATTCTGCAGACACTAGGAAGCCACCGAAAGTTGCTTGTGTCTGTTCTAAAGATATAATCTGGCAACAGACTAGAGAGTGGGATTCAGAGACAAAAGACAAGGATGTTGGTTAGGAGCTATTAAGTCAGTGAAGAAGTGATGATGGGGGTTGGAGAGGTGGGTCAGTGGTTAAGAGCACTGGCTGCTCTTGCAGAGGACCCGGGTTCAATTCTCAGCATCCACATGGAGGCTAATAACTGTCCATAACGCTCGTTACAGGAGATCCGACCACTTCTTCTGACCTCCACAGGCATTGCACAACATGGGTGCACTTACACACATGCAGGCATACATATACATAAAAAATAAAAATAAAATAAATAAGTTAAAAAAGAAGTGATCATGGCCTGAGCTAGGACAGAATGGATATATATGTATATACATATATATGTAGATAGATAGATATAGAAAGTTAGGATAAAGAAGAATTGATAGCAAAGGAGACCTAGAAAGAGCAGCAGGAGACTGGCAGAGGTCTGTGAGTGCTCACTTTGATAGACCAGGGCAGGTGGGATCTGGCCAACTGTGCTGCCTGTCTCTGAGAGGCCAGGAGTAGAAAATGAGAAATAGTTGCCAAGCTTTCTCTCTGGCAACTGGAAAAATCACTGGTGGCCACTGAGACAATCATGGCAGTGGATGTTTCATTTGAAGGGTTGAAAAGTAAGTTTGATGATGTGTGGGGTGGGGTGGGGGACTATAGATCAAGGGACATCAAGGACAGGGCAGAGACTTAAGAACATTTGTACCAAAGAAAATAGGTGACAAAGTTGAAAGATGCAAGTGAGAAGATGTGAGTGAAGAAAGAGGGCTTCAGCATGGCCAGGAGGAGGGGTATGTATACACAGGATCAGGGACAGCACAGTGAGTAGAAACAGACTCAGGTCCAGAGGGAAGAAAGATTAAGGTTTTATAACAGCAAGCTTCCATCTTGGAAGATGGGGGACAGAATATGGAACATGATGTTGAGAGTGGGGCATTGGAACCAGCAGAGGGACTCAGGAAAGGACTCAATGTGAGAGTTTTTCTGAGCTGTGGGGGATCCAGACCACAAGACTGCAGATTTTCTCCAACCTATGTCCACTGTCTGCAACAGAATTATTTTCCAGAGCATAGGATGATCAGCAGCCCTGGTAGAAGTTAAGGGGAAAGCACTATAAGATGTTAGCAAGGACATGTTAGATAGCCAGACATAGGACTCCAAGTGAGATAGTAAATAGTTGTCTACATATAGAAACATGAAGATAATGTATTCACTTATAACAAGAAATCTGCCTGTGTTTTGTAATTCCTGATTAGAGACCTTCCTTCTGGTAACCAGATCCTTCACCAAAGTCTCAATAAACAGGAGGAAATAGTTAAGGGCAACTGCTCCATATTTAGCACACAGTACGAACCTCTTGGTTTTGAAAGCCGATCTCACGTGTTTGTTTCTAGCCCCTCTTACTCCCACACTGGAATTCCCTGCCTTTACTGGAAATGGCAGGTGATTGACTCATTTACAAAATTTTGGTGCTCCTGTGTTCCAAAGTAATGAGTATTCTGGATTGTGAAGTTGGTGTATATCAGATGTCCCCTAAGTATTTGTTAAAGGAATAAATAAAAGCAAAGCTCTTCCTTAATGCCAAAGCTGATTGATAATCAGATTTCACTATGATGAATCCACTGTTACAGAACACAGAATAGTGCTGATCAAATGCCTTAGGCCAAATAACGAGTCAGTAAAAACTTTTCTCCCAAATATCATTGGGGTTAGAACAAAAGCAGAAAGGGCTCCATGGCTTCAGAGAAGGGACTTCCACACTTAAGAACACTCAGGATAGTTCTGTTCATCCATGAGACAATGGGAATGTGTTGTTTTGTTTTGTTTTGTTTTGTTTTGAAACAGGGCCTTATTCTATAGACCAGGATGGCCAGAATTCAGTATGTAGCCTAGACTGGCCTTGAACTCATAGCAGTTTGCCTGCCCTGGCCTCCCACATGCTAAGATTACTTGGCATGAACCACCTCTCTTAGCTGGGAATGTACTTTTTATACATTTTTCTGTCTCTATCATCTTCTTACAATTGCTTTATGTTCTCTAATAAATATGACCAGAATGTAATGTTTCTGAGACTAACTGCTGATTATTCTTAATAATCTATCTATCTATATGTCCTATAGTAAGAAAAAAAGTGTGGTTTTCTTTATTTAAAGGCTAAGGGGTTGAGTAGAAGTCAGGGAAGGGCTCCAGATTTAAAACAACAACAACAAAACCTCTGCTGTGGTAACCAGATAAAACCAAACAAAAGACTTGATCATGACTTGAATGTCAGGAATTTCCTACCAAAGTTAATCTTTATTGAGGTAATGTATTTCTCCAAATGCTAAATTGCTAGAGAAATAGTCAATAAAACGTTTTCATCCTTACACATAGGTAGGAAACATTATGTAAATGTTAGTTCACAGAAATGGGGTTTTAAAGCTCATTGGTCGTTTAATCCTGTCAGCAGTTGACACACTTCTTATTCCTTTTCTGGTATATAGATGTAGCTACCAAGCATTGTATAGCTATGTACCACAGAATGATGATGAGTTGGAACTCCGGGATGGAGATATCGTTGATGTCATGGAAAAATGTGACGATGGCTGGTTTGTGGGTAAGAATCCCATCATGCTTTCCTTCTAGCAATATATTGAAGGAGGAACTAGGAGTGAGACACAAGAAAAGCATTCTTGTTTGTGAAGAAAGCAATGTTCTCAGCCCCTCTACATCCATCTTGAAATGGTGTGAATGTTATGCCAGGCTGCCCACTGCTCTCCAGCATGCATCCTTTTGGCTTAGGTCCAGGTAGTACAATGGGAGCCACTGGTTCATTTTCTCCCTTCTTTCCAAAGAACTAGCTCTTGCCTGATCTCTGTAAAAATTTTGCCAAGTCAGTGTTGGGATTGGAATGGCCCAAACAGCAAGGCTCAGCATAAATGACCAGATAGGCTGTAAGACAGGGAGGTTGGCCGCAGCCTTACCAGCCTTTCAGCAAATGCTCTGTCCTCCCAGAAGCCAGGTATCCTAGTTTGTTTCTTCATTGCTGTGACAAAACAGTCTGACCAGTACCAACTTGGGAAGGAAAGGGTTTATTCAGCTTACATCTCCCAGGTCGCGTTCATCAGGGAGCCCAAGGTAGGAACTCAGTGCAGGAACCTGGAAGCAGGGGCCGCAGCCTTACCAGCCTTTCAGCAAATGCTCTGTCCTCCCAGAAGCCAGGTATCCTAGTTTGTTTCTTCATTGCTGTGACAAAACAGTCTGACCAGTACCAACTTGGGAAGGAAAGGGTTTATTCAGCTTACATCTCCCAGGTCGCGTTCATCAGGGAGCCCAAGGTAGGAACTCAGTGCAGGAACCTGGAAGCAGGAGCTGGAGCACAGGCCGTGAAGGAACTCTGCTTACAGGCTTGCTCCCCTGGCCCCTGCTCACCCTGCTTTCTTATGCAACCCAGGCCCGCCTGCCTAGGGGTGGCACCACCCACAGTGGTCTGGGCCCTCCCACATCACTCAACAATCAAGAAAATACCCCACAGACATGGCCACAGGCCAGTCCAATGGAAGCAATTCCCCAATTGAGGCTCCCTCAACCCAGGTGTGTCAAGTTGACACCAAAGCTATCCAGCATACCAGGTCTCCCTAAGGACTTTTTCAGAAGAAAGTCACATGAAGAAGTCACTCTAGCACAGTGCAGTGCCATAGAATAGGCACACTATGTGTGAAATTTTAAATTTTAGGGAGGCCACAGTGAAAAAGCAAAAAGAAACCTGCAAAATTAATTCTGGTCTTTTATAAACCCAGTGCACTCAAGTATTAGTCTTTGAGCACATAAAGATTGTTAGCGATGTATATTGCATTCTTCTTTTCACACTAAGTCTCTGGAAGCTGGTATATATGGTATTTCAAATGCTTGGGTACCATGTGTGGCTGCCCTATTAAAGATAAAAGCTGAGGTGGGAAGCTGTCAAATTCTAGGCAATTGAGCTATACAGCAAGACCGTCTCCAAAAAGAATAAAAAGGAAGGAAGGAAGGAAGGAAGGAAGGAAGGAAGGAAGGAGGGGGAAGGTCTAAGAGTGCTTCCATTTTCAACCTGTGGGGAAGGGCATTAGTTCTCCAATGAAGACCCACATCCTGGGCAAAGGAACTGTGTTAGCATGAGTGTCTCCCTTATACACCTGTTATTTTGAAACATAGCCTAGTATTCAGAGTACAAGTTTAGCAGCCCAGCATTTCTAATCAATAAGGATAGAAGTATCGAGAAGAGTAATGGGCTAGAAGTCAAAAGCCCTGGGTTCACCTTCTGCCTCTGACATGTGTTAGGCTAAGGGATCTGAGACGTGTTACTTAAATTCTCTGAGCCTGGGTCCCTCCATCTAAAAAGCAGGAATATTAGGAACACCTATCTCACTTGCTCCTGCCCCCCATTATTTTGCAGCCTAAATGAAATAAGGTAAGGGAGACTGCTTTGGAAACCATATACTATTCTATACACTCTGGGATTATTATAGAGGGACTGTGGCAGAGTCTGCAGTGTTCTCTCCAAACTTAGTAGGTGGATCGTCTCATTTGTTATCTTGTTTATTTTGTTTCTTATAGGAACTTCAAGAAGGACAAGGCAGTTTGGTACTTTTCCAGGCAACTATGTAAAACCTTTATATCTATAAGAAGACTGAAAACCACAGAGAGTATTTTTATCAGAGGATGAAGCATCATTCATGAACTGTTCTCTTTATTTAAATGTTGAGTCAGTAGGAAAATTAATGCAGTTGGTAACATAAGAATTCAAAGAGAGGAGCAGAGGAGTGTGTTTAAAACCCACTATGTATCAAGAGGGCTTAACTGTGTGCTAAGCAAATTGGTATTTATGTGGCTGCTTCTGGGAGCTGCTCCAGCCCCAAACCCCACCTCTTGTGTAATCTGATCTGGAGTTCTGTCCAGAACAGTGTTTGCCAAAAATGTTTCATACTGCCCTGTCCTCACCTGCTCCCATCTCAAAGGGGTCCCTTGGGGACCAAGCAGGTCCATTCCCAGCCATATTCCATAGGGCCCAAGCCTGTGTATCCACTAACCACATCCCCCTACCTCCATCCCTGGCTGCCTTAGTTAGAGCCAGCCAATCCTCTGTATTGCTAGAAACCATTCTGAGTTTCTGGGGCTATTTCTTAGCACCAGGGCCTGCTGAGGTCCAGGTGAAGAAATGGAGTGGACCAGGTGCCCTGGCATTCAGTCTGCTTGGTGGCATTGCCCTTGACTGGCCTGCTGTTCTGACAGAAAAGCATGCCATGTTTGCCCTGAGTTTGGAAGCAGATGGCCAGGCAGATGAGGTATAATTTGTGCCTCCACATGATTAAGCCAGTCACCTTGCAGCTCTGGAGGTCACTAGCAGTGAAATGTGCTCCAGGCCCTACTTACTGTCACAGCAGGGTGGCTGCATTTATGAGAGCACCTTTTTTCTCTGGCTCAGGTTTGTCTGGGACAGGATGGGATGTGTTCCTAGAATCCAGATTGGTGACCAGCGATTCTCTTAGCACATGTGGGTGCACGCTGGCTGCCGGAACACCGTGGGTAGGGCACACTCAGAAGGGACTCCATATCTCCAGCTTTGCCTGTGTTGGAGTTCAAGTACCACTCAGAATGTCATATGTCCCCTGCCCCCAGGACTGGGTGTCCCAGTGTACCTGATAAGACCTCCCTTCAGAGCCCAGGTGCATATGGCCTGATTATGACCCCTGGGTGTTTAGTCACCACTCTCTTAGCCTCTCTGTTAGACCCCTTAATGACACAAAGATAAATGTGGCCTCTTCCCAGAGAGAGCCAGCCAGGGGCTCAGGTGACTGGGAGACACAGAAAAAGGAACTGAATCCAGAGAGACTGTGATACGTGCAAAAGGTGTGAGAGGAAGGGGTGAGTTTCCCCTGGAGGGGTCCTAGAAAGCATTGTCAGGTTTCTGTCTCCATCAGCTCACTTCTAAACAAGGATGCTGGGAGAATATTTGGGGGTAGTTTATGTCTAGAAATACTTGGAACTTTTTCCAGAATCTCGTATCCTACCTACAGACAGCAGGAGTTGTAGGTGACAGGGCTTACTTAGACTGGAACCCCTGGCTTCTCTGCATATAGCTTAGAATCACCCCAGCTTAGAATCACTCCGGGGCCACTATCCCAAATGTCTGAAGTCTTTATAAAGTGACTCTGCCTCAGCTGCTGCCCCAGATACCATGGAATCACACCAGCTTCACCCCCTTACTCCCAGAAATCCCCCCTCCATTAGCTTTACTTCCTTCCCTATCCTTTCCAGGAGGCTTTCAAGAAAGAAAATTCCACTGATTGATTGATTCACACTAAAATATAAATGACTGATAAGAGGAATGTGTTGCCTCTTCCAGGAGGCATTGTTTTTTACCTAAGACAGAGCACAGTCTTCATCACAAGAGAAAAGGGTGTGGAACTGCTGGGGCTTCCTGGGCAGAAAGGATTTTTCTCCTAGAGCCCAGTGACTCTATGACCTATCGCTTTGGAGCTCTGTTCCACCAGCTGACAGCACTGTTTTCTTTCTTTCCTTTGCCCCTCTTAGAGGGAACATAGTAAAAATGTTTATGCATGTGCACCTCGCACAGCTGCATTTTCACCCATTTTGGAATGCAGTCCTTATATTGCTAATGAGTTTCCCAGTCTTTCCTAGATGCCAACCATGAATAACACGATCTTATCTAAGTTTTCTGAGGGGTGCTTCTTGATTAAGTAGGTAATTCTGAACACCTCTTTAAATACAGCTAGAAAGTAAAACCAATTTGTAAAAGCTACACTGGCATCCAATGCCAGCCACACACAGTAATATCTTCCAAATCCAGGTATGCCCATTTTAATAAAATCACTCCAACTTCCTACATATGAAAAAACAAAACAAAAAAACAAGGAGTGAAGGTTTCAATTACTCTTTTGTTCTCAGACATTTAGTAATATAAAGTACCTATTTTTATGCTGAAATGTTTATACAGGTTTATTAACAACAAGTGCAGCTATCTGGCGGCATGCCTTGCAACACGTTTTGATATATTTCGCTACGCTTCCAGGTAAAGGCAAGCCCCACACTACTTACCTTTTGCAGTCTCTCTGGGATTGGGAAAAGCAAAAAAAAAAAAAAAAAAAAAAAAATGCTTGAGAAGTGGGACTGTAAATAATGTATATTTAACTTTGTGTAGCCCATGTACCTACCTTGTATAGAAAAATAATTTTAAAAACTTGAGCAGAAGGGAAGTAAAACAAGGATGTCATGAAGGGGTTTTTTTCCATTTTTATTTAAATGAAGGAATTTCAAATAATTCACCTGCAGATTTGTAGCACAAACATAGTCATTGGAAACTGTTAACATTTACAGTGATTCTTTTGGGATGAGATGGCTACTACTATAATCTCATTTACAGTTTTATTTTTTCGTTTTCTTTTCACAGTCCTATTTATCTGCAATAATATTAAATCCCATTGCTGGAACAGGTTACTACAAAAAAGGATTGTAATCTGAAAGAAACATAACTGACATATGTAACCAATTAATTTCAAGTATTGCCATTTAAATTACACAGCAGAGCATGTGCTATGCAGACACAGATTTTTCTGCTCATTTATTTTCTTTATTGCAGTGGATTGATTTGATAGATGTGTTGAATTATTACCTTTGCTGTACATATTATTTAATAAACTTTATTCCGAATTGCGTGGCAGCTGTGTGTTCTTGCCCTTCGTTGGTTCTTTCTTCCCGTGGGGCCTACTTGCTGCTCGGCTATCTCCTTCTCTCCATCGTCCATCAATGGCTGCCTGGCTCACCCTGCCCCCAACACACCACGTCTTGCCTTACCTTTTTCTTAGTAGCATAGCTCTATGACCCTCTAAAATGATTACTAGTGCCCACATCATTTCTTTCTAAAGTATGTAGTTTGTTCTGATAACAAAAATAATGTTCCAGCCAGGCGTTTAACTCAGCACTTGAGTTCGAGGCCAGCCTGGTCTACATAAGTGAGCTCCCAGCCAGCTGGGGCTACAGGAAGACCCTGTCTCAAGAACACCAAAATAATAATATAATAATAATAATAAATAATAATAATATGATGATGATGTTCCTATGTCTTTAAAAGCCAAAGTGAAACATTATGAAATATATAATGGGTCTCTATTTGTGCCTCAAAACATGGGAAGGTATTAAGTTTTTGAAAATCAAGTCTGGCTGAGTCTTCTGCTATGGCGGTTGCTTGTTTTTTTCCCCCACACCAAGTGTATCAAGACACCCTGCACCCATCCTCATCCTCCCCCCGCCCCCAGTGGCCATCCAATGGCCGTGACCCCCATCTTACTCCAGTGGGGTCAGGTGTGCGCAGGCATGGGGTTCCCCTAAGGAAAAGCCCTCAAACCTCACTCCCTTGCCCTTGTCCTGCTCTGCTTCCTCTGAGTATGAGTCTGGAGCTGCATCTAGGCAGTGAACAGACCCAAGAGGGGTGCCTTCCAGAGTCTGCCAGTTTTCATCCTGGGCCCAGTTTCATAGGCACGGCTAACCATTCTCTCAAGCATCTGTCCAACAAAGCCTCCCTCCTACCTTCAAAGTGCACTGAGGACCCAGCCACTTCTACCATGATAACCCAAGCCGTTTTCTCTCACCTAGACCATTGCAATAACCGTAGCTCTTGCCCTGCTTTGCCCTTGCCTCCTCTCTCAACTTTGAGACGGTATCCAGGAGGATCATTTTGAAGTTGGCCATGTTTCCTCTGCTGGTTTCTCTTCTCACAGTGGAGTTCATAGGTATTGCTCCTCCCTCCCCCTCCATGACCTCTGACCTCACCTGCTAATTTCTCACAATGTTTCTAGCCACAATCCTCCCTCAGGTCTGAAACTCCTCCAGCACACTCCAGCTGCAGGGCTTTGTGCTCACTAGTCCTTGCGCTTGGAATACGCTTTCCCCAGGTGCTGCTTCCTTCTCCTTTTCTCTTCCTTTGTTCCTTTGGACATTTCGTATGTTGCCTTCTCTATGAGGATTTCTTTGGCTGCCTTATATATCCTATATAAGCTATTGTTCCCGCCCAAGCATTCCATTCCCGTCTCTTCCTCTGTGTTTTCCCATAACACCATCACCTGGTATTTGTCTTTGAAACAATCCTATGAGATCTACGAGGGTGGCAAATCTGTTTCACACCAAGAATGTTTGATGACACTCAGTCCTTCAGGTTATTAGCCGAGTGCAAGTAAATGAATCCTTAAAGCCCAAGAGATTGTAGCTCAATATTTTCTATAAATCATCAAAGAAGGAAACATTATACCAATTTCTTGGCATCAAAATCACAACAGAAATAAATCTCAAATTAAGCCGGCTTCATACAGACAGGGAAAAAGTTCTTGTCATTACAATCTTCTCCTACAGACACCACTGCGACTCTCCTGAGTGGTCCTTGAGCAGTTACATCTCTGCACATACTAACATACAGCTCCAAAAGAAAGCTTTACACAGGGGCAATTTTTTTCTTTAATAGAGCATGTACATAGCTCCAAAGATACACTTAACTGGTTTTCTATTAATGATGCGAATATGTGAGACTTTTGCCAGCTTTTTACCACAGTGAGCGAACAATACAGTTTTCAGTAGTGCTGTTGGCTCTAAGAGCAGGAACATTTCAAAGCTTAGGAAAATGTCAAGTCGTTTTCCTGAGGTACCAATTTATACTCCTGCCAAGTTTGTGAGAGTCTTTCCCACCTCCCGGTTAAAACCATTGTCGAAACCATTGTTCGCTTCCCTGAAATGCTATTATTTGTTCTGGGCCAGCCACTTCTCAATCCCCTTTCTAGATCTTCACAGGCTAGCCCTTTGTTGCTTTCTCTCAGTTTATGCTGCTTCAGGGACCAGATTCCTACAGTATAATTATGGCCTACAGAGTCACTCCTTTGAAGGTCCTTTCAGTGATTATGGGAGAAACCTAACACTATAGGCTTGTGTGGACACATACCAAAGCAAGTCGTAAGTAGCCTCAGGCAGGAAGGAATCCAGGGACTCAAACTTCCTCTGTTGTATTTCTCTTATTCTTGGCTCTGTGGTCCTGTTTGGCTACATTTTCACCTATCAGGTACAGCCATGGAACACATGGCTGCAGTCAGCTCCAGCCTCATTTTTACTTCTCTGACTCTAGATGCAAAGGGGCTTCTATTTGGCTTTCCCCAAAAACAATTCCAGGTCGTCATAGGCCCCTCCTAGATTTTGTTTTTTATTTTAGTTTAGTTTTTGATACAGGGTCTCATGTATCCCATGCTTGGACTCACTATGTAGCAGAGGATGACCTGAAACTTCTTAACCTCCTGCCTCTATCTCCTGAGTGCTGGGATTACAAGCATGTGCCACTATGTCCTGTTTATGTAGTGCTGAGGATAGAACCATGGCTCTACATGCTAAAGCAAGCAGTCTACCAACTCACCTGCAACTCCAGAACCCCTCCTGATTATATACGTGTCTGAATGAATCACTTTGACCAAAGGAGGTGGAGAATGATTGGCAGCCCTCAGAACCTCCTGGCACAGGGGAGATGAAAGGTCAGGGTGGTGTTCTGCCTTAAGAAGGGGAAAGATAGAACTGAATAGAAAAATCAATGGACCCCTGCGCCTGGAGAATTATGTAGCAAACTTTGGAAAATGAAAGGACACTAATCAGTTTCAGTGAATGCCTCAGTATGACTGAGAGTGGACTCCATGCTGAAGCACTGCAAGCCAGGCCTTGGGAACTCAACGGAGGATGACGTCCATCCGGTGGATGGAGCCAGTGGGACACTGAGGTCACAGCACAAGTGCATCACACCCTAAAAATATCAAGACTCTAGAAAGGGAGCAGGATGTTTGGATGACATACATGAGTTTAGTTGCCAAGTTGGAGCATGTCGAAGTCAATGACCTTTAGGACAAATGAAAATCACCACTTGATTCAGTTAATTTTTGAAATGAAATAGCTAAAAAATTATTTGGAGAACATATACAAATAACATATAAATTATGTGAGAATATAATAGTCCTCCCTTAATCTATGGGCACATTCTAAGCTGTCAGTTAATGCCTGAGACCACTGACAGTTTCAAGCCATATATATATATATGTATGTACAAGCCATATATATATACATTCATGTATACACACGTGTATATACACACTATTTTCCCCTATATGTATATACCTATAATAAAGTTTAATTTGTGTTAGGCACACTGAGTGATTAACAGTCACTAATAAAAACAGAACAATTATAGGCTGAGGCAGGAAGATTGTGAGTACAAGGCCAGCCTTGGCTACACAGCAAGACCTTATCTCAGAAGTAAATAAGTTATATGAGTGTGACACTCAAATTGTCTGTTGTACTCATGCTTCTCAACTGCAAACAACTAAACAGTGGAACCTGAAGCCACATTCAATAGGATGGCTACTGTATTAAAAAGATTTTTTTTTTTCTTTTGGTCTTTTTGAGACAGGGTCTCCCTGTAGTTGTCCTGGAACTCACTATATAGACCCAGGTGGCCTTGAACTCAGAGATCCACCTGCCTCTGCCTCCTGAGTTCTGGGACTAAAGGTGTGCGCCACCACACCCAGCACATCAAAAACTTTTTAAGGAGTTGAATGTGATGGTTCATGCCTTTAATCCCATGACTCTGGAGGCATAGTGAATTTCAGGCTAACAGGAAGATCCTGCCTCAAAAACAAAGCAGAAACAAAATTTAAGATAAGCCTATAGGAGGAAAAATGACAAGAAGATCAGAGTGACCACGGTACTTTGAGAATCTGTCCTTTTGCACAACTAGACTGCTTCTGGGACCTTTGCTCTGATATCACCAGACCCCAAACAATGGGTAGATTCAGACAATCTGGCCCCTTCTGACTTGTCTCTAAAGTGAGATCTGACTGATAAGCCAGCAGATGGGAGGTAGATCTGAGAATCATCTTCAAAATAGCAGCATAAACTATGTCAGTTGATGAAGCGAAAGTGTGGTCTGTGGTCTGCTTAGGTCTTGACTTAGCTTCATTTCCTGTTGCTGTGATAAAAACCTTCTGACATAAACAATTTAAGGGGAGCTGGAGAGATGGATCAGCGGTTAAGAGCACTGGCTACTCTTCCAGAGGACCCAGGTTTGGTTTCCAGCACCCACATTGTCGCTCACAACTGCCTAAATACATGGTACACATACATGCACTCAGGCACACACACACATACACATAAACTAAATAAATGAATCTTAAAGAGTGAAAAAGTGGGGACTAGAGAGATGGGTCAGTGGTTAAGAGCAATGGCTGTTCTTGCAGAGGACCTGGGTTTGAACCTAGCACCCACAGGGCAGCTAACAACTGTCTAACTCCAGTTCCAGGGGATCCAATGCCCTTTTCTGTCTTCCGTAGGCATTGAATGTCACAGGTACACTTACACACATGCAGGCAATACATGGATACATATAAAATAAAAATAATGAATAAAATATTTTAAAAATTTAAATAAAAAAGCAAGGCTGGAGAGATAGCTCAGAGGTTAAGAGCACTGGCTGTTCTTGTAGAAGACCCAGATTTGAATCCCAGCACCCACATGGCGACTAACAACTGTCCATAACCCCAGTTCCAGGGGATCTGACACCCTCTTCTGTCCTGGGGCACTGCATGACATGGGTGCACGTATATACATGCAGGCATAACACTCACACACATAAAATA